GACAAGTTAACCACTTCAAAACAGCACCATCCCTACCATCTTACAGACAAGTTAACCACTTCAAAACAACATCATCCCTCATCTTCTAACAGACAAGTTAACCACTTCAAAACAGCATCGTCCTTCACCATTTTAAAGACAAGTTAACCACTTCAAAACAACATCATCCCCACCATGTTACAGACAAGTTAACCACTTCAACACAGTTTTATATCCTATCAGTTTGCAACAGACTTATAACTAATCTTATCAGATTTAATCCTCACCATTTTAACCTAAACTAAGTCAACCATTCTACAGCACAATTAATCGCCACCAGTTTATGCCTACTCTAAGTCAACTGCACAAGATTTAGTCAACCATTTTACACTAGATTTAATCCTCACCATTTTAACCTAAACTAAGTCAACCATTCTACAGCACCTTTAATCGCCACCAGTTTATGCCTACTCTAAGTCAACTGCACAAGATTTAGTCAGCCATTTTACACTAGATTTAATCCTCACCATTTTAACCTAAACTAAGTCAACCATTCTACAGCACCTTTAATCGCCACCAGTTTATGCCTACTCTAAGTCAACTGCACAAGATTTAGTCAACCATTTTACACTAGATCTAATCCCCTCAAATTTATGCCTAAGCGAAATCAGTCATTCTATATCAGATTTAATTCCCACCAGTTTACACCTAAACTTAGCCCTCAGAATCAAATACTACATTAATAAGATTCGCACTTTTAAGTCGAACTTTTTGCAATATATATATATATAGAATTTACATGTAATTAATATTATAAACACACATATATATATTTAACATCCAAACTAAACTTGCACTGATCAATGTTCACTTTTTTAAGAATATTATTATTATTTTTTGTTTATTTTTATTTTTCAAGAATACTATAAGTGAATTGCTTTACCCTCTAATAAAGAGAGAGTAACATTTTGCATTTCAGTTAAGAGTGGTTTAAGGTTCCGCTAATCCCACCTTCGTTGAAGCGCCCTCTTCCACATATCAACAGTACTACAACAATATGTCCCAGAACACTAACAGTTGTACTCACAGTGCAGCCAATAAAAGGAAGGTGACTTTGTTGTTCAGGTGTCATGGTTACACGCATGACGTCCAGGGACAAGGACATGAAGGATAAGTTGCTGGCTGTGCCGACACGTAAGGAGTGTAGAAGAAACCTCTTCCGAAATGAAATTGCTGCCCTACCGACCAAGGGTCATAGAGCTGAAGGCTGCGAGTCTTAGCAAACAGCCTGGACTGTTCCTGGAAGTAGACCTGATGAGCTAACTCTTCAATCAGACTCAGTGTCTGTCGCCGCTCGTGGCCCATCAAACACACCGTACTTTCGTCCACGACTCTCTGAAGAATCATGAGATATTCGTACTTGCTTTGGCTGTCTCCCATGAAGTGGTTCGCGAGATAGCTCTCCAGCTTGACCTGCTGCTGGTTAATGTCGCTGAAGTCGATAAAGAATCGCGAACACATGTAACGCTCTAATGTCTTGATGTCTTCTGGGTTCGCAGGTTCGTAGTCGCGCACGAGCAGGTTACAGTACTTAAACAGTCCACCACCTCGAATCTCTTCTGGGTTCCTGGTGGCGATTAACTTCTTGTTGAGATGATACAGCGCCTCCTGGAAATCACCGTATACACTTTCACCAACAACAGTGGGATAGAAGTTTTCGTCCATTGGAACTTCTGCACAGTCGTAGAACAGGAGGAGAGAGTCCAAGATGATCTGGAAGGAGTCCACGCTGAACTCGAACTTTCGCTTCATGACGTCGACAAACTTGAGTTCCACGTTTCGTCCACGGTTGTTACTCAGTGAAATTAGACTCCACCGGTCTCCTTCTATAACTTTCACCATCTTTTTAACGTAAGCTTCTTTCAAACTACAACTGCTTATTCTGTTCTTGCTGACCCCTTCCGGCAGGAAGTCGAGCAAAGAGTCTAACACTGCTGCCTTTACTTTGTCGAAGCTTCGCTGATTCGAGAGATCGACACCGAATATCAAATCGAGATCGTTATAGGGGGAGTTTTCAGGAGTCAGAACGTGACTTGCAGCCCCACCATTCAATCTAATATCCTTGACAGATACTGCATCTTTCTCTAACTTCCCCCTCACCACGTGGACCAGATCCTTCAGCTTCACTTCTAGTGTGGGGAAGTTCCCACGACCATGGATTGGCACCACTTCGTCCATGATCTTATGTAAACGACGAACCTGCTCGTAGCTCAGGACGGCAAAACGCTGGTCGTAGTTAGCCGGTGATTTGTTGCCTTCCATCGTTGGTTTCACTAGAGATTCCTCACACTCCACTTCAAGCTTGTTCGACTATGTACGAAAAGAAAGGAAAAAAAGAGTGATTAAGCAATCTACTGACGGTACATAAAGTGCGTTTGCTCGAACTACTTCTATCAAACTTTCTACCACTACCCACATATGTAGTTATTTCTTAACTGTAACCCACAGTATATGTGTACCGCTTTTGCTGCGTCTCTCTCTCGTCTAAATAGTATTCATCCGCAATATAGTGCCAAATTTATCCGTTGAGGCTACAGTTTTAAGATAATCATATTAAACTGTGAAACAGTATATTATAATTAAACATTTATAGTATCGAACGCATGCCACAGAAATTAGATTCAATAACGATCTTTTATGCTCGAGCGCTCAATGATAAGAGCAGTCGCTTAGCAACAAGTTACGTAGAGAAACGTCAATACATTCAACAATTACGTGACGTTGTTGTCTATCGTGAACAGGCACGTGTCGCAATCCCTTGGCTGTAATGGCATGAATTTTCTAGTTTCTTTTTTCTAAACTAGGATGTAAAGCTCATTGTATGGATCAACAATAAGGGTTCATTCTAAACCTGAACCCTTATTGTTCATTGTTTAGTACGATCCCTTATTGTTGATAGTTTATAGTGAACCCTTATTGTTGATAGTTTATAGTGAACCCTTATTGTTAATAGTTTAGAATGAACCCTTATTGTTAATAGTTTAGAATGAACCCTTATTGTTGATAGTTTATAATGAAACCTTATTGTTTATAGTTTAGAATGAACCCTTATTGTTGATAGTTTATAATGAAACCTTATTGTTTATAGTTTAGAAATTAACAATAAGGGATCGTACTAAACTATGAACAATAAGGGTTCATTCTAAACCATAAACAATAAGGTTTTATTATAAACTATCAACAATAAGGGTTCATTCTAAACTATAAACAATAAGATTTCATTATAAACTATCAACAATAAGGGTTCATTCTAAACTATAAACAATAATGGTTCCTTCTATACTATGAAAAATAAGGGTTCGTTCTAAACTATTAACAATAAAGGTTCGTACTAAACTATCAACAATAATGGTTCCTTCTATACTATCAATAATAACGGTTCATTCTAAACTATTAACAATAAGGGTTCATTCTAAACTATCAACACTAATGGTTCGTTCTAAACTATAAACAATAAGGGTTCGTTTTAAACTATCAACAATAAGGGTTCATTCTAAACTATCAACAATAAGGGTTTACTATAAACTATCAACAATAAGGGTTCATTCTAAACTATCAACAATAAGGGTTTACTATAAACTATCAACAATAAGGGTTTACTATAAACTATCAACACTAATGGTTCATTCTAAACTATCAACAATAAGGGTTTGTTCTAAACTAAGCGAAAGCTCAGACTGGATACGAGTTAAATTAGATGAATGAAAAGCGGCGAGTTCGAATCTTGTACTGTAGTAATTATATTCAAGCTTAAACTTTCTAGAAACTAACTGCTAGTTAATTGAGACTTTCCTCTACTACTTATGTTGTGTAGAATATTAAGTCATTTAGAAGAAAGGAAGTTTTCCATTTCCTTTGACTTGAAATAACAGGTTCACTCATCACGAAGAGTTACTTTAACATATGGACCCGCCCACCACCCGGTGCCCATTCGGGAAGTATGGGGACTTATTACAATAAAAATCGGGTTTCTATATCTGCGTTGATCATATAAAAGATAGCCTTTTGTAAATCACTAACATATTCGCATCAGAATATAGAAGTGGTTCTCAAACAGAGGACCACATACCAGTCCTACCCCACCTGTCTCTTCTCTCATATGGCTTCGGCCGTGGCGTTGCGCGTAAATGACCTGGAGGACCCTCTCGGACCACACTTTCAGAATGAACAAGATACAAAAGAACACTGGCAATGTTCTACCAGTGTCCAGCGGTCAGTATGATGGTGTGATCAGAATATAAAATACAACAGAACACTGACAATTTCTACCAGTATCTAGCGGTCAGTATGATGGTGTGATCAGAATATAGAATATACAACAGAACATTGACAATGTTCTACCAGTATCTAGCGGTCAGTATGATGGTATGAACAGAATACTGAATATACAAAAAAATACTTACAATATATTTCTAGTAACTAGCGGTCGGTATGACGGTGTGATCAGAATATAGAATATACAACAGAACACTGACAATGTACTTCTAGTAACCAGCGGTCAGTATGATGGTGTGATCAGAATACTGAATATACAACAAAATACTTACAATGTATTTCTAGTGACTAGCGATCAGTATAGTGGTCGGAACAAAATATAGAATATACAACAGAACATCGACGATGTATATCTGGTGACCATCGGTCAGCATGATGGTATGAACACAATATAGAATATACAACAGAACATTGACAGTGTACTTCTAGTGACCATCAGTCAGTATGATGGTATGAACACAATATAGAATATACAACAGAACATTGACAGTGTACTTCTAGTGACCATCGGTCAGCATGATGGTATGAACACAATATAGAATATACAATAGAACATTGACAGTGTACTTCTATTGACCATCAGTCCGTATGATGGTATGAACACAATATAGAATATACAACAAAATACTCCTAGTGGCTCGCGGTCAGTATGATGGTCTGAACAGAATACAGATTATATAACAGAACACTTACAATGTACTTCTAAGTACTAGTGGTCAGTATTATGGCCTTAACAGAATATACCATATACAACAGAACACTGACAATGTACTTCTAGTGACCAGCGACAAGTACGATGGTGTGAACAGAATAAAGTATATACAACAGAACGCTGACAATGTACTACTAGTGACTAGCGATCAATATGATGGTCTGAACAGAATATAGATATAAAAATGAACATTGGCAATGTACTTCTAGTGACCAGCGGTCAACTTACTTTCAATCAGTGATTATTTACAGTATTATAATAAAGAAGTGTGAACGTTAATTTAGACTTTTAAATCTTATTTTAATCGTTAAGATATCACTAATAGATTGAAGCCAGTTGATTAATTGGTTTCACGACCTTATGTTAAACAGCCTGTGCCTTTGTATTTATTGAATTATTTTAACAATATTGTTTCTTAACCTGTATTCTTGATTTTTATTAAGTCCACTTCGTCAAGTGAAGTGATATCATACAAGTCGTTAGATTGATAAACCAGTTAATTAAGAGTGACCAATCACGGGACATGGTGGTAACGTCTGGGGTGTGAAAGTGAGGCTCCTTGGTTCGCGTCCGTCACCGTCAGAAATATCACTCTGTTTTCCGTCGATGCTTTATAAAAGTCACTGATAAGTCCCACTATTCACGAGTGCTATCTGCGCTACCTAGTCCTCACCGCCCACCGCCAACTCTTCAGCTACTCTTTTACCAACGAATAGTGGGATTGACTGTCGCCTTGTAACGCACCCACGGCTGCTATGGCGAACATGTTTGGTGTGATGGAGATTCGAACCCACAACCCGCAGATTGCGAGTCGAGCGCCCTAACCACCTAGCCATGCCGGGTCCCCCCTATTCGGACGGAAAAGAATAGTCCAAAATATAGGAATGAGTGGTGTTGTTTTTCAATTTAAAATAAGAGACAACTAGCGCGGACGTTTAACTCTCTTGTAGCAAGGAACTAATGTAGGATTATTAATAAGTTCACCATCAAAAAGATGTTGTCTGCATCTTGGGCCGAGCGTGGCCTAGTAGTTAATCTGCCGGAATGCGGATTAGAAAGCTCTAGGTTCGAGTCGCGATATGCCGTTGGAATACTTTCCGAAGTTTTAGCTGTGGGAGCGTTTTAACCATGACAGTCAACCTCGTTATTGGATGAAGAGTAACCAATAAGCAGCAAGAGCCAATTACTGGTGACCTCCAGCTATTCCAAATTAGGAGTGGCTTTCGGTGTCTGTGACCTGACCGTCTAACAGTCACGTTACATATATCTATGTACAACATGTGGTTATTAAAATCTGACTGATTGATTTCGAACATAACCACAACTAAAAGGGTTAGCAGATGGTACATTGTGTAAAACAACTTTATCTGTCAACACTCGAAAGCTCTACAGCAGCAAACAATTCAAAAGAACGAAAATCCTAAGAAGCTGTTGGTTCTCGGGCCAAGCACGACTGCCAAGTCTCGTTCGGGCAAGGTTCACATATTAACTTCTTAAATTGATAATCAACATCAGTACAGTTTTAACTTCTTGATCTAATGATTAACAACAGTAAAGTTTCAACTCCTTGATTTAATAATTAACAACAGTACAGTTTTAACTCCTTGATCTAATAATTAACAACAGTACAGTTTTAACTCCTGGATCTAATAATTAACAACAGTACAGTTTTAACTTCTTGATCTAATAATTAACAACAGTTCAGTTTTAACTCCTTGATCTAATAATTAACAACAGTTCAGTTTTAACTCCTTGATCTGATGGTTAACAACAGTACAGTTTCTTAGATCAAGGAGTTAAAACTGTACTGTTGTTAATTATTAGATCAAGGAGTTGTTGTTAATCATTAGATCAAGAAGTTAAAACTGTACTGTTGTTAATTATTAGATCAAGGAGTTGAAACTGTACTGTTGTTAATTATTTAATTATTAGATCAAGGAGTTAAAACTGTACTGTTGTTAATTATTAGATCAAGGAGTTGAAACTGTACTGTTGTTAATTATTAGATCAAGGAGTTAAAACTGTACTGTTGTTAATTATTAGATCAAGGAGTTAAAACTGTACTGTTGTTAATCATTAGATCAAGGAGTTAAAACTGTACTGTTGTTAATCATTAGATCAAGGAATTAAAACTGAACTGTTGTTAATTATAAGATCGAGAAGTTGAAACTGTACTAAAACTGTACTGTTGTTAATCATTAGATCAAGTAATTAAAACTGTACTGTTGTTAATTATTAGATCAAGGAGTTAAAACTGTACTGTTATTAATCATTAGATCAAGTAGTTAAAACTGTACTGCTCTTAATTGTTAGATCATGTAGTTGAAACTGTACTGTTGTTAATCGTTAGATCAAGTAATTAAAACTGTACTGCTCTTAATCGTTAGATCAAGGAGTTAAAACTGTACTGTTGTTAATCATTAGATCAAGAAGTTAAAACTGTATTGTTGTTAATCATTAGATCAAGGAGTTAAAACTGTACTGCTCTTAATCGTTAGATCATGTAGTTGAAACTGTACTTAGATCAAGGAGTTAAAACTGTACTGTTGTTAATTATTAGATCAAGGAGTTCGATTAAAAGCAGTACAGTTTTAATTACTTGATCTAACGATTAACATCAGTACAGTTTCAACTACATGATCTAACAATTAAGAGCAGTACAGTTTTAACTACTTGATCTAACGATTAACAACAGCACAAGTTTGTTATCACAATAAAGAACAAAGGTGATAAAAGGTGCATGTGGTGATACTCACCCTTGTATTCGAAAAATAGCAGAGTATCTCATTGATGTTCTGTAAGAAAATATTAACGAAAGTATTAGGTCGGCAAGACATTAATGTCGTGTGTTGGATCACTTTCATTAACCACCGCCTAAAAAACGTACATTACATATAATAGTTAAACAAATCGCCTAAACGTCACGTTAGTGTAGCCTATATAATGTGTAAAGTTTAGTATACACTAATCCCGTATAGTGATGGCACACGATGAGACACACATTCGACATGTAATGCTGTTTGTCTACAAGAAGGGAAACAACGCCTCTGTAGCCTCAAAGATCATCAAAGAAGTTTATGGAAATTTTTTGAACGTTCGTAAGTGTCAACAATGGTGCAGCAGATTTCATTCAGGTGACTTTAGCTTTAAAAACTGTGATGGCAGGGGCCGACATGTTGGAATTGATATTGATGCTCTGAAGACACTTGTTGAGTCTAACCCAAGGCAACATACTCGTGAAATGGCCCTGAAATTGCATGTCGTTCATGGAACAGTGCGTAAACAGCTAAAGAATATGGGAAAACTCCATAAAGAAGGTGTTTGGGTGCCTCACGAACTCTCCGGTGATCATCGTTTAGAACGTGTGAACGTTACTTCGTCTCTTCTGAAGCGTAATGCGCGTTAACCATTTTTGAACAGAATTGTCACCGATGATGAAAAATGGATTCTATATGCGAATATTAAACGCCAAAAACAAAGGCTCAGTCCTAGACAAAAACCGCTTCAGACCTCAAAACCTGGACTCCATCCGCAAAAAAGTGATGCTTTGCATTTGGTGGGACATCAAATGAGTAATTCATTTCGAACTCCTCAATCTACTTCAAACTGTCAATGCAGAGAACTATAGTCAGCAACTGGAACGTTTAAATCAAGCCCTTCATCAGAAACGCCCTTCACTTGTCAATCGGAAAGGTGTTCTTCTTCTCCACGACAATGCCCATCCACATGTGGCAAGTTTGACGCTACACAAGATTATGGAGTTGGGTTGGGAAGTTTTCCCCACCCACCATATTCTCTAGATATGGCACCATCAGATTACCATCTTTTTCGTTCGTTGCAACACCATGTTAGTGGGAAAACGTATGCAAATATGGAAAGTGTTAAAGAGGACATCGACGTGTTTTTGCTTCAAAGCCAAGTGATTTGTTTAATCATGGCGTTAACAACCTGATTGTTTTAATGAATGTTATAAATCAGAATAAACCTAGTAAAGTTACAAAGTGTCTTGAATGTTATAAACCAGATTAAGCCTAGTAAAGTTACAAAGTGTCTTGAATGTTTGTCTTGAATGTTATAAACCAAGGGTAAACCTAGTAAAGTTACAAAGTGTCTTGAATGTTTGTCTTGAATGTTATAAACCAAGGGTAAACCT